GCGGCGACGAGGAAGAAGACAGCTCGCAGATCGTCGCCCTGGAAGAGGTCGGTGAGGAGGACGAGGACCTCCCCGGTTTCGAGGCGATCGACGAAGGCGAGGGGGACGACGATTTCGGCGGCGGTTTCGACGCCGGCGGCTTCGGGACCGAGGCGGCCGCCGCCCCGGTCGCGGTCGGCTCTTCCCAAGAGGTTCCGTTCCCGGGCTGGGTGCTCGGCATGTTGATCGCCGGCTTCTTCTCGATGCTGCTGGCCGGCGTCATGGCGATGGACCTGATGCAGACCATGTGGTCCTGGGACGAGCCCTTCGCGTTCAGCAGCGGCCTCATGGAAGGCCTCCTGAGCATCGTCGGGCAATAGACAAGCCACACGTCGAAGCGGGGACGCAGGGACCTCGAAGGTGTGACGTGGGCCACGGTGTGCGGCGGTTTGCCGCGCCTCGGCGTCCGCGATACGGGTAGGCCGCGCTCCCCGCGGGGCCGTAAGATAGGGGGCTCGCTGCCAGAACGTCTGGCGGCGCCAATCTCCGCCACCGGTCCCAAAAAGCCCGTGCTCTTCACCCGCCGAGCGGCCCCCGTGGTCGCGCTCGCCCTGTGTATTGTCGCCCTTGCTGGGTGCCGTCCCGAGGAAGAGGTCCGCACCTACCGGATCGCCAAGCCCGCCGACGCGCCGAGCGCCGCGAGCGAGACGCCGCAACCCATTGCTCCCGAAACCGCCGCTAAGCCGCCGAGCGGCGAGCCGACGGATCGGATGATCGGGTCGATCGTGCCCGGGCCGAGCCAGGCGTGGTTCTTCAAGGCCGTCGGTCCGAAGGCGGCGATCGACGACGCGGCGGACGCCGTCACCGCGTTCCTCGCCTCGGTGCGGTTCGATGGCGACAAGCCGAAGTGGGAGACGCCCGAGGGCTGGACCGAGGAGGAGGCCGGCGGCATGCGGCTGGCGACGCTCAAGGTCCCGGCGGAAGAAGGGACCGAGTCGATCGAAATGAGCGTCATTGGTCTGCCGCTCGTCGGCGACTGGGACGCGCAGGTGCTCGACAACGCCAACCGCTGGCGGAAGCAGCTGCAACAGCCGCCGCTCGCCGCCGAGGCCATTGGGGACGAGCTGAAGCCCCTCGCCGACGTGGCCGAGGGCGCGGTGCTGTTCGACACGGTCGGCTGGTTCGACGGCGGCACGATGGCCCCCTTCGCCGGCGGCGCCGCGCCATTTGCGAACGCGACGCCACCCGCGGCGCCGGCCGCGCCCGCTGCTGAGCAGCGCGAGATGAAGTACCAGTCGGAGTTGCAATCGACGACGCCCGACGGTTGGACCGAAGAGCCCGGCAGCGCGATGCGCAAGGCGTCGCTCCGCACGCCCGGCGGCGCGGTGCTGACGGGCTTCGCGTTTCCGCTCACCGGCGCGATGGGCGACCGCTTGGAGAACGTCAACCGTTGGCGCGGCGAGATCGGGCTCGAGCCCACGACCGCCGAAGAGCTCGAGGCCCAGACCGAAGAAATGAAACTGCTCGGCAGTGACGGCGCGTACTTCGAGATGGTCGGCAAGACGGAGACGACGCACGCCGCGATGGTCGAGCGCGAAGGCCAGGTCTGGTTCTTCAAGCTCCGCGGTCCCGTCGAAGAGGTGGCGAACGAGCGCGACGCGTTCAAGAAGTGGCTTGAGTCGTTGTCGCTTGAAGGCGCCGAGAAATAACAATTCATGTAGGAGGCGTCTCCGACGCCGAT